CTCTGCATCCTAACTCAAGCTACTATCAAATGAGCATTTCTAAGAGACAAAAAGTGATATTATTAATATTATCAGGCAACCCAAACCTGTTTCTTGATTTGAAACAATATCACTTATTAGAACATGAAGAAACTAAGAAATAAATTTTTCTATTTAGATATTTATTTTGTTAAGGAAAATTAACGGTCTGGTTTCTACAACTTTCACTTTGGAGCAAAAATCTGGCTTTAAACTTGAAAGAAATAAAGATTAGACATTTATTGTGATAATTATCGATATCGACTGATATGAAAAAAATTATCGTAATACATTTTTTGGCCATATCGCCCAGCCCTCGTTAGTCTTAAGGGTATCTACAAGCCAGTGTGCTCCAAAACAGTGACAAAATTCGCATTTAGAAGATATAAGCATTCAAAGCTTCCAGTTCGTCACTTCCGCCAAAACGGCTCAACGATTTTTTTTTTTTGACGTCACATCGTACTTCAGCTTCTCATCAAACTTTCTGTCCAATCAAATGCTCTCTAGAATCCGAAGCGCCTGCCCCCTGCACTATAAATAGACGCTGAAGCGCCGGCTGAGATCGGTGACTTGTTCACAGGATTTGTACTTTCTGTACAGTGAATAGCACGTAGTGCACTATATAGGGGACAGGGAACAATTCAGACAGTTTAAATAAGCTTTACACTAGGGCAAAATGAGTCTGGTTTCGTGCTGTGTCACGCTAACCACTGCATCGCGCACACACGGTCTGCTCCGGTCCAGAGACACGATAGCACGGAGCGGATCACATGCGCGAGTCGGCGCAGAACACAAAACGTACCGGACCCATTTTAATTCTTACACAGAATGCTATATTTTACAGCAATATGGATGAGATTGTGGCTGGCATACCCTGTCAAATGCGGCTTTAGCCCAAGCTGTGATATAAACAAACGCTATTGGCTATTTAAAAAGGGGGCGGGGCTGCTTGATATGTCCCGCCCTGTCTTTGTTTCAGTTAAACTGACGACGTTCGATTTATGACGTACTGACACAAAGTTCAAATGATTTTTAACGGCCTCTTGGTCACGTCCGGTGTAGATACGGTGTAAGAACGGCGGAACGGAAACATGATGAGCAAACATCAGAACGTCATAACGGTTCTCTGTGTTTTAGCGAGAGATGATGGTGTTTCACTGACGATAGATCAAAGAGAGACTGGCTTGTATTTGATACTGCGACTAACACGATGGCCTTCTCCGTTTGCCGAAAACATGCAAAGGACAAGAATCTCAACAACTTGTTTTCTTAGGGACAAAAAAACAATTTAAACTCGAAAACGTTAATGAACATTTGATTAATAAATCAATAAATGTGTTTGTTGTTTTTTTCCTGAAAGTAAAGTAAAGGACAAATTAAAAACATTGTTTAGTCATTGTAGTAGTAATAACTGCCTTTTTGCAAAAAGAGTTTCATGGCTAGTAAAAAAAAATTTTGACTGGTAAATTTTCTCACGTCACCGGCCATTGGCAGGTGTGGCAAAAAGTTAGTTTAACACCGTGTCCTAACTACATGCGACGCGACAAGATTCCAGCGACAAGCAATTTGGGTGCAACACCAGACGCAACGTGACAGAATCAATCAAATATCACAGCCAATCAAAAGCATGTGTGGGCGGGCTCTCTGTGGAAGCGCACTGCTCTTGCAGCGAAATGGATACGTTTATAATCTAATTCATAAATATTAACCCTTTAACTGTCACCCCCCCCCATTTTTTAAAATAGGCATGAAAGTGCACTATCCAAACTTAAATTGTTGTAATTTATGAACACTTTGGAATACAGACCTAAGGTTGGTCTCTTTTTAAAGAAGAATAAATAAATGTCTAAATAAGTTATGTTCCAAATTTGAAGTTGATATGAAAAAATTTGAGGTTCCTGTGGGATTTTATTTAGGGCATTATACCACAAACAGCCACCGGGTGCCATCCAAACTCCATTGATTTTTTTCCATTGAGATTATCTACGGTCATATAGTTTGTATGTTGTTGTTCCAGCCGTGATGTCGAATAGAAACCGCTTCTAAATTAGAAATTTCGCGTGTCGCGGCTAGTTAAGACAAAAACTCCGATTAACATGGAAAAGATACCTTTTATCGCGTGTCGTGGCGTCGCGTGTAGTTAGGACACGGTGTTAGGCCCTGCCTGTAACGTTTCTGTGCTCGTTTGAGTTTCGCCTGTTGCTGAGGTGAAGTTGGAGTGCGCGTCTGAAAAGTCTCCTATTTGATGTGATCGTAAAGACGTTCTGCATCTGAATAAACGTTTATCAGTTGTAAGTGGGGTAGCCAAACTTAGCTCTGCCCCTGCGTTAATTGCATTAAATATTTTTAATGCGTTAAACTGGAAACAATTAATCGTCTGCGTTAACGCGCTAATTTTGACACCACTAATTAATACCATAGACTGTATAAAAACATGGACGTAGTGTCCGTGACGTCACCCGTAGGTTTCTGAAGAGAGATTTTGAAGCTCAAAGTGGGCGGAGCGGGCCGCCGCCATCTTGGCAGCGCGTCACCGCGTGTCACTCCCGGATAATCGAAAATGGGCGAAGAGGCGGGAGCTGGTTGCTGAAACT